CACAGGAAGCTTTTGGGGACACTCAAACCATAACCAAACCATGCAAGGATAGACTACTACATAGAAATCACTATTCTTCACATATACAAAACACAGCCAGTTAGAAGAAATAGCGGAGCACAGACCATATTATAATAGTTACATGAAACAAAGCAAAACCTACCTAGGAAAAAGCAAAAAATCTGCAAAAGTGCCAGACGTGGTAGTGTGCACCCGTAGGCCTAGGCACTCAGGAGGCTAAGTCAGGAGGATGGCTTCAGTTCAGGAGTTTCAGAGCAGTCTGGGCAACATAACAGATCCTATCTCAAAAAAAAAAATCTGCGAAAACTTACATAAGAAGTGCTGAAACACACTCCTCAAAGACACAAAAGTAGAACTAGATACATGGAAAGATATACCATTTTCTTGGATAGTTAAGATTTTTCATCCTAAATGTGTCAGTTCTCCCCACATTCAATTTAATGCTATTGATAAATATATGGCTAGATTTTTCCCCCTCAAGTTAGACAAGCTAATTATGAGTTTATTTGGAAGAATAATTAAGCAAGGGGAAGACGGGGAATCGTGCAAAGGAAAAACTGGTCTCATACTAACACAAGCACAAATAACTGAGTGTGGAGGGGAAAAGACAGTGCAATGCCACAGGATAGAAAATCCAAAAATATATCAGAGTTGACATATTTATAGTTACAGCAGCATCTCAAATCAGCTGGGAATGAGCATTTAAAAAATGACACAGGTCACTATGTATGAGGACAAAATTAGGTTCATTGTTTGCCATACAAGTTCTAAATTAATAAATCAAAGATCTAAATGCAAAAATGAAACCATGTTAAAAACTGGCAGGAAACTATGGGTGGATTCTTTTATAACCTGGAGATTATAACCAGATTTGGTATTTAGAAGTAACAAAGGAAAGTGATCAGTTCGACTAATAAAAACAAATTTCTGTATGTTTTAAACCAAGCAAATTAAAAAGACAAATGATAAATTGGGGGAAATATTTACAATTTAAGTTAAAAGAGTATCCCAAATTTGTAAAGAGCATACAAAAATTAAGAGAAAATAATCTAGAAAAAAAATGGACAAAAGGTGCAAATTTGTAGAAAAATGAAAATGACTCAAACATACTAAAAAGACATCAGCTTCACAGAATGTGCAAATGAGAACTACAGGGAGCTACCAATTTTTTTTCCGGAAAATTGGCAGCCATCTCTAAATTTGACAACCTATTTTCTTGGCCACCTGTGGTGAAACAGGTATTCTAAAATTGCTGGTGGTAACAAAATGCTAGAGCTCCTGTAGAGATGAATCTGAAAATATCAAGAAATAATTCATGTGTATTTAACATTTGACCTAATTAGCAATCTCACATCTAGGACTGTGCCCCAGAGGTATGCTGGCACAGACACAGGATGACACTTCTGTAAAGATTATTCAGCCATGGGGCCAGGGATTTGCTCAGTGGTGCTCCCCCTACCTCGCAAACACAAGGTCCTGAGTTCGATCCCTGGTACCAAAAAACAGATTATTCAGCCATGCATGGTGGTGCACACCAGTAATTACAGCACTCAGGAGAGTGAAGCAGGAGGATCACTGCAAGTTCAAGGCCATCCAGGGGTACACAGCGAGACCCTATTTCAATCCCCCCCAACAAAGATTACTCAGTGCATTTTTTTTCTTTTTTGTAGTACTGAAGGGTTGAACCTTATAGCTCATACTGAGCTATATCCCCAGCCTTTTAAAATTCTTGTAGTTTGAGACAGGGTCTCGCTAAATCACTAAGTTGCCCAGGTTGGGCTCAAACTTGAAATCCTTATGCCTCAGTCCCCCAGGCACGTGGAAAACCCTACTATACCTGACATCAAGACTTAGAAGGTTGGCAAAGGGACAGAAAGGTAAGTCCACAGACATACAGTCAGTTCTTAGAGATGGGTATCACAATGTAACAGGGAAAGAAATATCTTTGACAAATGGTGATGGAACTGAACACGCTTATGGAAAATGAAAGTACTTATCCCCTACCTCATACCATATAAAAAATTAATCAAAGTGGATCATCGATCTAAACATAAAAGCTGAAACTATAAAGCTCATAAAAAATGTAATATATTCAAGACACTGCGTTAGGAGACTTCTTGTAGAGGATATACAAATTTTAAACTTAAAAGTTGACGTTTGATATTTAATTTCACCAAAATTAAAATCTTTTCACCAAAAGACACTGTTGACAAAATAGGCCACAGATTGGGGAAAAAAATGGAATGGGCTGGGGTGTAGCTCAGTGGTATGCACCTGCCCAGCAGGCCCGAGTTGGAGTCCCCATTCCCCATAAACCTGACAACTGGTATCCAGAATGTATAAAGGACTCCTATTACTCAATTAAAATGAAAGGACAAAATAATCTAGTAAGCAGTGAAAAAGTTCTATTCATTATTCATCAAGTAAATGCATATTAAATCGGCAGGAGAAAACACCACATAACCAGGAGAATTGGCTAAACTGAAAAAGATGGGTAATAGCAACATCAGCAATACACTGTGCTACTCATAGACTGTGCTGGGAGAACAGAAAATAGCACAACTAATTTAGAAAACCACTGGACAGATTCTTAAAAAGTTCTACATGCATCTACCCTAAGACCTGGAGATTCTATTCCTAGCATTTTTTTTCTTTTGTTTTTTTGAGTCAGGGTCTCCCTTTGCAGTCCAGGCTGGCCTCGAACTCACTGTGTAGCCCAGGCTGCCTCTCACTTGCAGTGATCCTCCTGCCTCAGCCTCCCTAGTGCTGGGATTACACGCATGTGCCACTATGCCCAGCACTATTCCTAGCTTTCAAATTTAAGAAAAATGAAAACATGTACACAAAAATCAAAGAATTTTTAGTAGCTTATTCTTAACAGTTCAAATCTAAAAGTCAGAGTCCACAAATAGAATGGATACACAAACGGTGATATATTCAAACAGTACTAACCAGCAAGAAAAGGGAACAACAACCAAATACTGCATATGAATCTCAAATACTTGGCTGAGTGAGAGCTGGAAACCAAAGCCAAAGAATTAAAAAATTGTCTAATTTGTATAGTTTAATTCTACAAGAGTACACTTAGGATTTAGGACTCATTTGTTGATACTCTGGCTATTGATCTTTTCCTGTAAAAAAACTGTACTGATATCCACTGAAGGATGTTTATACTTCTAAACATGCACAGGCCTCTCTGCATGGAGCCCCACAGCAACCCCCCCCCCCAGTACTGAGGACTGGAATCCACCTCCTGTATAAAATTTTCCCTCCAAACTGAGAGTGGCTGGAGATTCCACAATTAGGGTCTTTCCTTTCCCTGTAACTATTAAAGAAAGGCATTTTCTCCCACTTTTCTTGGGAAAACAACAAAACACAAGAATCCTCTAGTAAAATTTTCTAATTAAAAATTTTTAAACTGAAATACAAATACCATCTATTTTGTATTTTCATAAGCATCTCATCACACTGAAGTATCATACCACTGAATTTTATTACAATTAAAACTAGATTTAACAACTCAACGAATAAACTAAGATACTGTTTGGTCATTACTAAATTTGGTCATAGGAAAAACTGAACGTTAACAGCATTTCAAAGTGTAGAGCACTAAAAGAAAGATTGTATTCAGCCTAATACTGTGATGGGTGTTCTCTGTTTATGCACCATATTTAAGTGCTAGTACCATTAGAAGTATATTCTGAGGGCTTCTTTAAAAGGTACTACAGAGCTCAAAATTAAGGTAAACAAGCAGTTATGGATATGCAGCAAATGCCTAACAGAAAACACATCTTTTCCACAAACAGAGTAACTGCATTAAATGTAGCATCTAGTGGTTTTGAAGAAGTTCAAATGATTGACTTTAAAATGACAAATTCATCAAGTACAAACATGTGACATTATATAGTAAATTCTTTTGTTTTTTCATCACTTACCCCCTATTTTTATCAAAGAGATATTTGTACAAATTTACCTCAAATGGTTTTACTTCATTTAGGACTCACTTGAGACAGCCTTGTGGCCACAGGTTTTCACCAAAAACTCTGCCACTGGGGCAGAATTTCCTCTTCCCCTTTCACAGCTTGTTTAGAAATGCTGTTTCTGGGAAGCTGTACAAATGAAGCCAATTTACTGGAAAAACGGTGCAACTGAACTGCCTCAGCCACCTCATCCAGTGGCGATGGACAGCAGGAGATCACTGGCACATCTGTGGAAGTGTCGGGCACTGGGCCTTGCACACAGCTTAGAACCGTGGCCAGGTCATGACTTTGACATGCGAGAGATACCTGTCCTCTGAACCAAGAGGACAGGTAAGGGCCCAGGGATGTGCACACAGCACACAGGTGGCGGACAAGCTGCACTAATGCATATTCACATGCTGAGGAACCTCAGATTTCTTTGTATGAGAAGGATTTAAGTTATATCACATACACTTTCACATCTCCATTTCACATTTCCTACTTAAACAGGAATTTACTGTTCACCGTGGGCCTCAATACCAATGAAATGTTCAACCTGATCCTCATCAAATTAAGTGCGTGTGTGTGTGCATTTATTTTGGTGTTTGGGACTGAACCGAGGGCCTTGCATATACTCTAGCACTAAGCTACACTCCCAGCCTGAGTTAATTCTTTCTGGAATAAGGTACTTGCCTAATGATAAAATATCCAATGTCAGTTTGTTAATGGGCAAAACAAAGATTTCCAGTATTTTGTAACTGTTCCTAATGTAGCTTAAGGGGCTGATAAGAAAACAGGGGAACTATAGGCTCGGTGGCCACCAGGACTACGCTTTATATCTCTTTCTCTTCTGCTTTAGGTTTCACTCACTTTGGGACAAAAACAATGCATCTTTTCACTGACCAAGGCAACCAGTGTTGATCAGATCTCAATAACACCTGCAAGTGAGCAAAACTGAGTGACAAGTGGGGGTAGGGAGGAGGTGGCACGGTGTAGCCTGGGAAAGAAGGTAGACGAGGATGGTGTGAGGAAGGAAAACACATTTTAATATCATTGGCTGACAGAACAAGACCCTAAAAACTGGAATAATTTCAGAGATGAAAAATCACTTCTCTTACGAGTGATGCTGAAGAGAAAAAAGAATTAGGTACTGATAAGTTATATGCATTAGGCAAAAACAGACACAATACAAAGAAACTGAATCCACTCACTGTAGTTATAAAATACAAAAATATTATCAAACTATAATGGATGACACTATGTCTCCAATATTTAAAGATGTCTATTTAAATTAAAATCTTGTCCCCCCAAATAAATCCAAAATGAAAAAGTGAAATTTTAGTAAATACATATATGCAGGTATAGGTACATACAAATAATGCAAAAAGAGATTTATGAGAAGTGTCATTTTGGCACTTTTACTTGGATTTTTAAAGTAAATACAAGTATCTTTGTACACAAGTTCTCATTCTAGAGAAACAGGATGTTAAAAGGTACAAACATCTTTCTTCTTAAAAAGAACACTGAAACAGATAACTTTACCTGTTAAATCCTTGGTTGGCAATTTTATAAACCTGGTTTGATTCATTTAACTCCAAAAGTTTTACAAAATTATTTTTGTTTCTCTCAGTTTTACCTGGCTATTGACTTCCAGTATACATACATTTGGCCAGAGGTCCATAAATAATATTAACATTTTCAATGGAGAAATCTTAAAGTTTTAAAGGGAGATACAGCTCAGTAAATAAATTCTCCTGGAATTTCTTGTAGCAATGGTTCCTCAAATTTAAATCGTTTGGAAATAGCTTTTTGCTCCGTTTTCTCTTTTTCAGACTGTCTGCATTGTCCTAAAGTATACGAAGTAACTACAATTAACTCCTCCGTCACAAGTGGTCCCTCGGATTCTGACTTCTCAGTATCTTCATTAAGTTCAGCCACAGAATCACCTTCTTGGAGGATGTCTGGTGCTTCCACTGCTCCCTCCACCTTGAAAGGACTGGGAATACTGCTTGGTGTCAACCACGGGTGTCTAAGACATCCCTCAGCAGTGGCTCGATCTCTGTATAAAGATATTCACACAGGTGACAGCATTAAATTTCCACTGAAAAATCAGAGCGTAAGATCCTGTATTGTGTCATATTTTGGAAAGTATAAGGAGATGGCAAAAATCGTACTGTGCTTCCTGAGTAGAACCAGAAGTTTTAGAACTTGGGTGCATTAACTAGAATGCTGAAAATGTATTTTAAGTAAGGTATTTCTTACTTAAAAGTTCTTCTTTTTTTTCTAGTTTGGAAAATTTTAAATTTTTTTTTGCATATAACAATGAACAATGGTGTGTCACCAATGTGTAGTATAATTACCTTGTCTTCTGTTCCTTATCAATTTACATAGCCAATTATCTATTTAATTTCCCATGGTTTTGCTACATTGTCTAAAACTCTAGTTTGTTTGCATGCTTTCTTTCTTGTTCCTTTTTTTTGGTACCAGCGATCGAACTCAGGCAGGTACCTGAGTTGCGAGGCAGGCGGCGGAACCACTGAGCTAAATCCCCAGCCCTTGCTTGTTCCTTTTGTGACTGAACCCAGGGAATCCAAAGTTCTTTTGAGCAACCCAAGAATGGTAGAAAATGTCTGCTAGGGAGCAGCTGTCATTTCATTGTCAATTTCTACTACCCAGGAGTAACACGTGCCAGTCACTGCATGACACATCTGCAGTTACACAATTTCACTAATTTCAAACCTTTCAGCCTGAGGCACAGGTCACATTTTCTAGGAATATGTTCATTTGGGGCAGTTTTTCTTTCAATACGTATATTAAGTCAAGAGGGTCATCTAGTTTCATGTCAATATTTTTGTCTTCATTTTTGGGGTTTCAGTTGTTGAACTACTTTTGCTCAGAGCAGATCACTCAAAAATTGGCTGGGAGTTTAGCTCAGAAGCAGGGTCCCCAGAACCCCACAGATAAAGAGGAATACTGATACTTACTCAGGTTTCTTAAGTAAAAGTTGCTTGATGAAGTCTACAGCTGACTCAGATACACCATCAAATTCTTCCTCAGAATAGCTTAAATTCATCTGTGAGATATTCAAGAACGTTTCTTGTTTATTATCGCCTAGGAAAGGCGATATCCCTGTAAGCATGACGTATGTTAGCACTCCAATGCTCCTGGATCAGAAGGAAAGTGTAAGCGCAGTTAGTACCAAGTTCACTTCTGGGAACTAATTTCATCGATTTTTCCTGTAAATAACACGTACCACATATCTGTTGCCATGCTGATAGGATCATAACTAAGAATTTCAGGAGCTAGTTGGAGAAACAAGAAAATGTTTAGTTTTGTGGAAAAAGATGTCCTAATTTGCTCTTAAAGATAAACAGAGTATGCATTAGAAACTATAAGTCACTACAATCAAAGTTTGGCCTAAAAAGAAATATCATCATCGTTTAAAATGAAAGGAAATCTTTTTTTTTCTTCTGGTTTTTCGAAACAAGGTTTCACTAGGTAGTTTAGGCTGTTTTTAAACTTACTATGCAGCCCAGGCCAGCCTGGAACTTATGGCGATCCTCTGCCTCAGCCTCCGTACTGCTGAAGGAACAGAAAATCTTAACCAGAAGTACAAATCTTAACTACAAGTTTCCATACTTCCACCCTCATTGTTCAGCCCTAGTATCTGAAAATAATACTTGACTGCAAAAACTGCAATATAAAAAGACAATCCGATGCCTTTCTCTTCTCACATTTTCTATCTCATCAACCACCACATCTACCAGGTAACAGCTTTCAAATCTTTCTCAGTGCATCCCTAGCTCTTCCTCCTCACAGCCCAGCCCTAGTGCAAGGCACTTTCCTCTCTCACCTCGGCTGTCAGTAACTGGTCTCATCCCTCTGATCTATGATTCACCCCATTCCCCCGGACAGGCTCTCACTTCATAGTTAATGCTACACCTGGGGGCAGCAGGAAATCACCTAGGTAAAGACAAGCAGAGAAAGGCTGTTCTGGAGTTCCCCTGCTTTTTTCCTTTCTGTTTTGGGTCAAGTCTGTACTACTTTCATAAGAGAAGGCAGCACTGTTTGGGGAGGGGAGTTGGTAGGAAATTTAGATTGACCAAAAAGCAGAAAACATTGAAACAAATCCCTCACCCCACTCAATATCAAAATAACTGCTATTTTGATATTGCAAATCATAGCTCTCCACTGTGCAGTCTTCCATATTTCTCCCTGCCTACTGTGACTCGTTAAAATTGACTAACATATTTGGGTTGTTGCTTTCTCTGAAGAAACACTGTTAAGTTACACTTGTAAAACTTACTTACAGGTCAAATGTGCATTAGCCTAGTGAAAAGTAGGTATTCTAGCCTATAAAAAATATAAAAATTCTGAAGGTTGTTTCTCTGCCTATGGTCGCTTTTTAAAATTTGTGCCTATTAATTTTATAAAATATTGGGTTTCAAAGCATATGACATATTTTGATCATGTCCCTGCCCCCAGTCCCCTCCCTTTTCCTAATTCCCTTCCACCTATTAATAATCTCCCTCCTACTGTCACTGTTTCAGATTCCATGTATTAGAAAGACCAAGCTATACTTGTCTGAGTCTGGCTTTTTTTACTCAACATAATAGTCTCTAGTTGCCTTCATTTCCCCACAAACTACAAAATATCATTCCCTACAGCTGAATTCTATTCCATTATGCATATATATCAATTTTCCTGACCCATTCATCTATTCATGGGCACTTAGGTTGCCTCCATAGCTTGTAATTGTGCTACAATAAACAGGGGTGTACAGGTATCCTTACAACAGATACCAAGTGGTATAGCTCGATCAAATGGCAGCTGTTTTTAGGTTTTGAGGAGCCTCAGAACTGATTTCGATAGGGGTTGTATGAGCCTTACATTCCCACAAGCAGTTTAGAAGGCCTCCCCTCACCCCATCCTTGCTGCATCCATTCACGTACAGTACCAGGGGTTGAACCCAGGGCTTTCAAACTGAGCTACAAGCCCAGCCCCTTTTTATTTTTTGAGACAGGGTCTTGTGAAGTGCTAAGTTGCCCATTCTAGGTTCAAACTTGACTTAATTTTTTTTTTTTTTTTTTTACTGTCATTGCTCAATGGCTTTGTTTCCTTTGACCTGTCTGCCTTTCTATCTGCATCCTCTGGAATACTCTTGTCTTGTAAACAAATTCCCAACATCCTCGGCTCCTGTTCCAACACTGCCCCTTCTACCCTGCTCCGAAAGGTGTCCTGCTCTCCCTAGCCTCTTGCTCCTCAGGGGCCCTTGCATGGAGACTTCATGCCTCTGCCCTCAGGCCGTAGCCATTCTTCCCCTCTCAGGCCTGCCAGCACCCCAGGCAACTTCCCACTTCTGTCCAAGCTCACACAGCCCAGCATCAATGCCTCGGGACCTCTGGTCTGAAAAGTCACTTTTCTAGACCTACAGCCAAAACCCTGTAATTACCTGTTTCTATGGTTATAACTTCTAAATCATTCTATGGCCTTATGCTTCATTTTAAAATCAAACTATTAATCCTTCAAATCCCAATTTTCTTCCAGTCAGTCAACAAAGGCAACAGTTTAATTCTTTTTTTATACAACCTAGACCCATGGTGCATCACTCCACAAGCTGCTTTTTCTGTCAGTGACCTCAATCTGGCATGATCCCAAAGACCGGCTCTGCTTCACATTCTCTGGAACCCAGGATTGGTAATTACTTTATTATCAACTGGAACTTCTTCAAAGGCCCTTCCTTGTCTTATTCTGTTCCTTTGTTTGTCTTCTGCAGTGCTGGGGATAGAACCCAGGGCCTTGCATGTACTGGGCAAGTACTCAACACTGAACTGCACTCTCAGCTTCCTATTCATTTAAAGGCAATACCTTCAAACTCTCTCAGCTTGGGGCTGCGGGTGTAGCTTGAAGATGTCTTGCTTAGCATGCACAAGGCCCTGGGTCAGATACCCAGTGCCACAATAAATTTTTTTTAAAAACCAAATAAAAATTGGGGCCGGGGATTTAGCTCAGTGGTTCTGCCACCGGCCTCGCAAGCACAAGGACCCAAGTTCGATCCCCAGTACAAAAAAACAAACAAAAAACCCCCAAAAAAGTTAAAAACAAACTTTCTTAGCCTTGCATGAAGAGGATTACCAATTTGGTACCTTATTCTTCAAAGTTTTCCATCCTTAAGTCAATTTTAGATTTAATTCAAAGGAATGAGACTCTGGTGGTAGAATTTCAATACAGCAAAGGCCTTATTATGAAGCAGGCCACACATGAGCTCCTTAATGAACATGATTCCTATCTCCAATACAAAACCATCTGCTCATAGGAATACTTACCCACATATTCAGGAGTACCCATAATTTCTCGAAGCTCTTCACTGTTTTTCATTATTCTTGAAAGGCCAAAATCAACTATCTTAATGTCACCCAAAGGAGATTCACTTGTCAGCAGAATATTCTGAGGCTAAAAAATAAAATGTACACCCCCAAAGATTAATAAAACCATGATTAAGAACACAAAAACATGCAGCCCATAAAACACAAATTCCACCTGTGAAACGGAGATTGAGGAATCGAACAGTAAGCAATCACTCATTAAAGACATACTTTTATGATATGCTTCCTCCTATGTGTAAGGCAGCAGGCTTTGTACTTTTATATTTTCAATCTCTTCCCCAATACTGGCTCTTTCTCGGCATATAAATATGCTTTTATTCCTAACTTAAAAACAAACCACTGTGCTTCTAGTGACTATCCTCAAAGACCCTGAATCTCTTTCTAGCCAGCAGTCACTCCCTGCTAGTCCCTTTATGCTCAGCTTCGTGAAAGCATGGTCAAGTGCACTTGCTGTCACTTTTCAATTCAGCTAATCTGTTGTATGCCTTCTAAATCTGCCCTCACAAGGTCAAGACAACTATTATCCAAGACTCAGAAAATGCCATGGATGCCTTCCAGGACTATTTGCATGCACTGATTTCTGTAGCACTGTGCATGGTGAATTATCTCAATATTCCTGATATTCCTCCCATTTGTGTCTCCCTTTCGGATCTCTTCTTCCCTCCATCGACTCTTCATTTATTTTCTCAGAATTTTTTTTACTTCTGCCCCCTTTTTACATATTGGTGTTATTCAAGATCTTGCACTGGCTGGCTCTCTTCTTCCACTTCTTTGCACTTTCCACTTCTTTTTCTATTTTCCAGCAATGCCATCTACACCTAAAGCTTCAGCCATTCATATACTGATCACTGTACCACACCTTCAACTCCCACCACAGGACAGGTCTTCAATGCAGCACACTTGGAGGAAACAAGCATCCCCAGCCCCACGAACCAGTTTCTCTCTTCTGTAGTCTCAATCTCAATGCTTAAGAAAAACACGGGTTCACCCTAAAGTGCTCCTTCATTTTCCATCACGTTTCGCATCCTGTGAGGTCACCAATCATGTCAGTTCCATTTCTTAACATGTTCACAGTGGGGCCTTAATTTGTGTATCTGGCCACCAGGTAGCTTGAACCATTGGTGGAACGTGTGTGACTATCCTATCTGGAAGCTTTATATTAATTTTATTAGTAAAAAAAAAGTGATTAGATCCACGTGTACTTCCAGTAGTACAAGCTGCCCAATGGGACAGTCATACATGTACCACCAGTGGTCCAAGCTGGGGGGAACATGTTAAATCTCAATATCCCCACTACTTAGTCTGGGCTTTCGTTATTTGTTACCCAGACCACTCTGGTGGCCTCCTGTCTCTGGTTTTCTCCATCTTCAACCCATCCTCTGTTGTGTAATTACACAGTCATCCCTCAGTCTCTCTGGGGGATTGGTTCTAGAGCCCGCTTTGGATACCAAAGCATGTGGATACACAAGTTCCTTACATAAAATGGTGTATTTGCATATAACTTATATATATATCCTAGTGGATATACGTGAAATCATTCCTAGATTACTTATAATTTCTATGAAATATAAATGCTGTAGTTATTATCCTGTATTATTTAGAAAATGACAAGAAAAAAGTCTGTACATGTTCAGTACAGATGCAATTTTCTTCCCAAATATTTCTGATCCACAGTTGGATGAATCCATGGATGCAGGGCACATGATGCAGAGCCAACTGTACCCACCCCACACTCAAATCTGATCATGATGGCTGTAAGGTCACTCACTGTTCATCACCCACAGACACTCAAATGGGTATGGTGTGAGGACAGAGATGGCAAGGGCTACCCGAGGCACAGAATCAACAAGGTTCATAGCCTTGGACTTATTTTTACCCAGTGTAAAATTATCCAAGATACTTTCACACAAAAAGATAAGCAAATGCATTATGACCTAGAATGTAAAATCATCCAAACTTTTAAAATAAAATATGAGACTTGAGAGTAAAGTTTGTATTCTTTTCAGAGAGAGTCCACATTTACTGTCTTCTACCATTTAAGAATATTTTCACAGGTAAGCACTGGTATCAATACATTACAAAGCACTGGTTTCAATAAATTACAAGTATGTACCCACCTCAGTGTTCCATGAGCCGGTGACTACCTCCATTCTAAGATTGATTTCCTATCATTTCCCACAGGCAATCTATGTTGCAAATCAAACAAGCTGCAATCTCTTCCCTGCACTCTCACATTTCAGGCCTCTACATGTGCCATTTGTGCCAGGAAGCCCTCTCCTTGACATTAATATTCATCACACACTCCAGGCAGAGTGGGTTTCCATAAAGCGCTTCCATCCACCCTGCCCTCTTTACCCTTTCCAGGGAGGGCACAAAGGCTGCCCACTCTGCTCCTCACCATCCTGAATGTAGAAACCTCACTCTTTTGTGCAGGGTTTATTCTTCCGTTTCCTCTACCACAGTGTAGTTCTCTAAACGCAGAAAATGAGTGTTCAGATTTTCTTTCCCTTCACTCAGACCTAACCACTGCATTTGACTTTGTTGTTGCTGTTTTTGGAGAAAAGGTCTTGATTTATAGTACAAGTGGCCTTGAACTCACTATGTAGCCCAAGCTGGCCTCCAACTTGTGATCCTCCTGCCTCAGCCTTCACAGAGGTGGGATTATAAACCTGTACCACCATATCCAGCTGTATTTGACTTCTGTCCCTTTCATTTAACTGTAAGTCACAAAATCCAATGGTATTTTGCGATGCTTTCTTCTGGACTACTACCTTATCAGTGTCTGACACTATTATCCAGTCTTCCCTTGTTTATATACACTTTTTCTCTTCATTTTCATGACAAACAAGAATCCCAGCTTTTTTCCTAGCTCTCTGGCTGCTTCTTTTGTCATCTGCCGTTACTTGGCCCACTGACTGCTGGGTTTCTCGTGGCTTGATCTCATGTCCTTCTCACTCCATACTTTCATCTTGCAGTCTATCTGCAATTAAAGCTTCAAGATCACCTACGCCTTGCGACTCAAACACATTTTTTTCTCTTTTAAACCCCTTTAACCAACTGCTTACCAATCTCTCTCCTTTGAGGTCTCAAAGGCACCTCAAATTCATCAAGACCAAAATCAGACTGGTATCTTCCCCCTTCAATCAGATTCTCCTGCCATTGATAGGCATCTCAGTGAAAGTTATGACCACCCAGCATGACAGAACACTAAGAATCATCTTGGTCATTCCTTTTTTCTTCCTTCCTTCTCCATTTAACTAGTACATCACTTTATCTTGTTGACTTTCAATCATAAATTCTAAGCATTTCTAGACTTGATCTACTTAATTTCCATCTATGAAAAGCTATTTAAAGTTATCATTTCTTGCTCAATTTCAACAGTCTCTTCAGTGGTTTGCTAGGGATCTATTTTGCCCACACCACAGCCAGAAGGATCTCTTGTACTTTGTAAGTCTGATGTTACCTCCCTGCCTAAGCCCTGCTCTTAGAAGACACCCATGCTCTTTGACAGCAATTACAGACCTGCAGAGCTAGCTGCTACCTAGCTCTCCAGACGCCTCTCTCACCTCAGCTCAGTGAAACTCAGTTTCACTGGACGATTCTCAGGATGCTCTCTCTTCTCAAGAATGTCTCTGCATGCAGCCTTTCCTCTGCATTTTATTTTTTCCTGGTCTTTACCCAATGTCAACTTAGAAGACCCACAGTGGCAGTAAAGCAGATAACCATGATTTTCAACAATGTGAAGGGCTGCAATATGAAAAAGGTTACTGACATAGCTGGTCCTTCCCTTTAAAAAGGGTCTTATTCACGAGCCAGGGATTTAGCTCAGTAGTTCTGCCGCCTGCCTTGCAAGTGCAAGGTCCCAAGTTTGATCCCCGGTAGACCCCCCCCCCCAAAAGGGGTCTTACTCTTGACCTAATATCCATCCTTTTTCTGTTATGAAAGCTCATAATATGTTTATCAAGATCTGAATTCAGACAGAAACAAAGGGAAGAATCTACAGCTTTGATGCAGACAGGAGTCACAGTACCAAGCACTGTTTACTAGAGTGGGCAGGGCCTGGCACACAGTGACACATATTTTCTGGATGAATGAACAGGAGAAACATACTTACAAGAAATGGGAAGAATGTCTGTTTTGTGTCAGGAATGGTGGTAGCATGAATGGCAGTACTAAGGAATCCCTACTATCACAGAAGTGCTGAGAGGAGGAGCTGGACCTATCAGGCTCCACGGACTCTGCTGCATGCTGCTCAGTGATAGCAGTATATGTGACATGCTAGGTTATATACTCATAATAGGCACTAGCTCCACACCTTGGGACATTACAGAGGTGGTATGACGTAGACACTCAAGATAAAAAGGAATTCATCTCATCAGTTATTTAACAAATTTTCACCAACTTCTTACACAGCTATGTGCTGGGGAAATAACAAGACATGAGCGCCCTCTTTTGAAGATCTACAGTCTTTTTTTTTTTTTTTTTTTTGGTGCTGGGGACTGAACCAGCCCTACCACTGAGTTGCACTCCAGCTTGGAGCCTTACATTCTACTGCGGACACAAGCAAGTACAAATACAAAAACCCTCGAGTAGTGTGAAGTGCTAGGGGAACTCAGCAGGGTGATGGTGAGAGCGGATGCTGCGGTTTGCACAGGTACGTGCCACTGTTAGGGGAGTCAGAAGGTTCTGTAAAAGGCAATGTTTGAAGGAAAGGACAAGCTTAAGAAGGAACTAATCTCGGCACAATAATCTCTGAACAGTGTAGGCAGAGAGAAGAGCTCATATAACGGCCCTGAGGTGAGGACAAATCACCAGCGACGGATTTCAACAAGTCTCGTTTCTCTGGGGAACAGCACAAGGAGAAGGGAAAGGAGATGTATTAGGAAGGAGACTGAAAAGAAAAACAGAGGAACGGGAAGCACAGAGCTCTGTAGGCCTTTCTGGGGCAAATGAAAGAAGGCAAGCACATTTTCTTGGTTAATTACCCTCTAGATATTTGCTAAAGTTTGAATGTGACCCCCGATAGTTCTTATGTTGGTAGCTTGGTCCTCAGCGTATTAATGTGAG